TTTGTCTGCACCTTCAGTTGGTGGCAGAGTTTCTAGTTTAAAAGATGAATAACAGATATTTCTGTTAAATTGTAAGTATCTTAAATCATTTAAAGAAAGTGTATTGTTGTATTTTTTATAATTTATATCAACTGCAGTAGAAAATAGAACCACAATCACCTCACAACCAATTCTCATTATATTTTCTTTACTTGCGTTGGAATCGTAGAAAATATCCATGAAAATAAGAGTTTCTTTGTTTGCGTTGATTAATTTAAATTTCTCCTGATTATAAATCAAAGATTATAAAAGATAATTTCTTTCAATTTAATGTACAATGTAATCAAAAATTTTAAAGAATTACCTCGTAAAGAGTACAAAAAGAGTAAAAAATGATCTGCTCCTTTTAAATGGAAATATGTTTCAGATGTCTAAAATAAATCAAAAAGGATTTTTTATTATTAATAAAAAATCAGAATATTGCAAGCTTATATAGAACGAATCTTTTAAAATTATTAAAAGTTATAACAAGCACAATCGTAATCAAAAATTTTAAAGAATTACCTCGTAAAGAGTACAAAAAGGGTAAAAAAATGATCTGCTCCTTTTGAATGGAAATATGTTTCAGATGTCTAAAATAAATCAAAAAATATTTTTTTATTATTAATTAAAAATCAGAATATTGCCAGCTTATATATAGAACGAATCTTTTAAAAATGTAGAAAGTTATAACAAGCATAATCGTATTTCTAAAATCTGTAAAAACAATTTATTTTATTAAGTTGAAGTTTAATTATAGTTATAAACAATAAAGTAAAAGCAATAAAAATAGTTCAAAACAAAGGTTTAACTTGCATATCAATAATTTAGCCATATATAAAACAAAAATTAACAAGGAAAATATTTACTTTGAAACTACTACTGCTTGAACAAGTTAATGCCACAGTCTGCGGTTTATTTTAAAATAATCTATAATAAATAATATTTTTCACTGATTATACAATTTGAAAATAATTAATTATTCAAATCATGAATGTGTTGCTTGTGTGAGACGTGTAGTGAAGTCTGAGATGTAATGCATTCAAGTCCTCCCCTTTTTAAATTTAATGTTTGTTTCGTCAGTTTTAAGTGTTTTCTGTGTGTTTTAAATTGTCCTTAAGTGTTTTAACTATAATAATTTTATATACTTGACTTTGCAATCATTTGCCATATATGCCAATAGAACAAAGTAATTTGATAATTACAAGTTGAAAGAATTGCACACCCACACAATTTGTACATCTAATCTCATTCATTGTCATACAACTATCACATTCATAAAATAAGATCTCAATAAATAACACACATTTCATAAATCTCTTGAATAAATATACATAACTTTTAAATAATTCATTGGTATAGAACATAACTTTCATCTAACAAACAATCACTTCACACCTATCCCTACTTCATTGGATAAAATCTATCCCTTCAAGAATTTCCCGTTTATTGTCAAACAATTACAATAGCAGACTTAAGTTCTCCAGTCAACAATACAGGACAGTTTGAACCACGTTCTTCCAACCATCAATTAATAGACTACCGGCATCATTTATTTAACTTTGTATCGAGACCTGAAGATGCTTTGCATATTGTAGAAAGCGAAACCGGTCGTCTGGATAGTTAAATTTAATTGATTGTGAGTAAGTCTTATTCATTATTTTTTTTACCTATTTTAATTAATTATTCATTCAATACTTTTAAATATTACTTACAATTTTTAATTAAAAAGTAATTAAATACGTTTAGTTAAAACTTTTTTGTTCAAAATACACAAAATATTTTACTCAAAGAAGTATAAGTATATTGCTTTCTACAGTCAATACACTGAGACTGACGAAATTTTGGAATCGAAAAATTGGATGAATATTATAGCTATCAAGTTTTAATACAAAGTTTAGATTTTCATTAAAAATTTGTGCAAATTTTACTTCTTAATATTTATAAACAATGAAGATATGATTTTTAAAAAAATAGTCACTAACTTCGTTCCTATTGGTCATAGAAGGTTTTTTTAATGTGAGTTTTTTTACCAGCTATCCAATGGTTGTACGTACAAGTCTGTAGCTTGAAAAATATAGAAGTAATTACAAATGTTTATAAGCAAAAAACATACCCCTTTTTCAAACGTTTATTTTGTAAATAATTTCGATGAAAATGCAATATGCATTTAACTTCTGAGATAGTTTAAGTCTTAAAGAATCCTATGAAATTTGCTAAATGTATCTAGCATCATTCATAGGGCAAGTTCAGTAGTTTAAATAATTAGTCTCAGGGATAAACAAATGAAATAACTTTTAAACTATTTGACCGATCGGAGGGAAATTTCGCACAAATTTAAAAAAAACTTTAATTCCTTGCTGTTTAAATGTATTAATAACATTTTATTTTGTTAGTCACATAGGTGAGGACCTATGTCTTAAAAGGTTCAGATGTCTGCGAAAAATGTTGCCGTGAAATCGATGATGTTTGCATAACCAGACTGGGCTAATAATACTGTGCATACATATGAATACGTAGTTTTCTAAAACATTAATTTCCTATACTAAACCCATTCGAAGCAACATAAGATGCTAATAATTATTTGATTCGCGTTTTTGAAAAAAAGTTGTTGACTTTTATTGTCAATGATATCTGATAAATGATTCTCTCATTCAAATATTCTCTCTCCTGTTGCCGACAAGAATCTAACGTAGAATAATTTTAAATAATTTTAAACTGTTTATCCTTATTTTAGTGTAGTGTTATGTACAATTTATGTTTAATTTTCATGTTTATTACATTCTGCGTTTGCTGGATAGCCCAAATTTGATGAAATGCTTCTGATGATGCTGTAGAAAGCGAAAGTATGTGGGCAAGATTTGATTATTGTTATAATATATTATTATTTATTTTATTACTTGTATATATATATATATATATATATATATATATATATATATATATATATATATATATATATATATATATCTATATCTATATATATACATATATATATATATACATTTATATATATATATATATATATATATATATATATATATATATATATATATATATTGAGATAATTATAGATATAGAAGAAATTAGCATAATAATATTATGAATGTTTAATTAATAAACTCAAATGGTGATTAAATAAATAATTTATAAGTTATAGACTAGAGAATATTATAAAAAATATTTATATGAGGGTATTTTTAAGAATTTGGCATAATAATAAGTTTAAAAAGTTTTTGTAATTTTTTTTAATAATAAATATATTTAAGTGAGCCATGTGCATAGGCAACCAAATATACACTGAATAAGTGATAGTTGAGTGATAACGGATGTGAAATGGGGTTATTTATTAGTTTGGGATGTTTAATTTACATATATAATTACGGATGTAAAATAGTGTTATGTATTAAAATGAAATGAAAAAGACAGCAAATATTTGATTTCACGCAAACAGCGCCTATGTATCTGTTGATACGTATTTCGACCTAATAGGTCTCATCAGAACAGTTATTTATAGGTGTTCTCAACGTGAAAGATCAATATTTTCTGTCTTTTAAGAAGCAACACTAAAATGTTGTTCTTCTTCTGTTGTTCTGAAGCTATTTTCTTGTGGCATTGTAAATTAGTTACTATTAAACTGGGAATAAGCCACAATTAAAATGGCTTTGATATGGACGCAATAGCGACATCTGATAATAAATTTGTGGTTCGAAACTATTTTACGGTTTTGTTATGTATTAAATTAAGATGTTTAGTTTATATATAAGTGTATATTCTGATCTCAAAAGCCTAAATGTCCATTAAATTATCCATAGAAGAATTAAGAGTTTTTTATAGCATTTAAATAAAATTAAGTTAAGTTTCAATATAAGAAACTTAACCCTATTTGCGGGGTAGATTATTCGAGAACATTCATATATCTATGAAATAGAACAAATTCGAACATGATTTATTGCTAGAATGTTCGGGAACGATGAAAAGATATAAATACAATGTAATTTAGAGCAAGGGGGCTTAGACAGTTCAAGAGAATATAAGAGTGGATTAAGACAGTTACAGGTGGACAGTTAAAGTTACAGTAAGACAGTATGAGAGTTACAGTGAAACGGTTAGACAGTGCATTCATTAAGCAGTCAATCATTTAGTCAGTTGATCAGTAAATAGTACAAGCACATAGTATACAGTATACAGTAATCAGTGATTCAAAGTTTTATAGTATTTGAAAGTATATTAAAATTATAATATCTATATGGTGATTGGAGATTATTTAAAAAAAAAATAAGATTATAAGTAAAAAGCAAAGAAGAACAATAAAGAAAGAAGAATATTTTGCCCATTTATAAAGGCTTTTAAGAAGAAAAATATTTTAAATTGTTGGAAGCTGATAATTAAAACATGGTGGTATATTTGGAAGAAGCAATTTCACAAAAACAAGGATAACCGAGGCTGGATATTGAGTGGTGATTAAACCTTTGATTTTGGAAAACAGTTTCATTTAGGCATTCAGTGATAGAAAGGTACCAAATTTTGTTAATATAATTTAATTATTGTAAGAATTTCAAATTTAAGATAGGTTTTTCTAAATTTATATTGTCTATATTAGATATATATGTGTGTTTCATAATAGTTATAATAAAGATATTTAAAAAAGTAATTACAAACTAATTCTTCGAGAATCGCGATCAAAATTCTATACTTATATATGTTATTTTAAATTATTCATTGCTCATTCAACATCATAGCAATATATATATATATATATATATATATATATATATATATATATATATATATATATATATATATATATATATATAAATATATATATATATATATATATATATATATATATATATATATATATATGTATATATATATATATATATATATATATATATATATATATATATATATATATATATAAGGTTTTCTATCTTTTTATTGCATTATTAAACAACTGGTATATTTTCATTTTATTTCAGCTTACGTACAGCCGTTGTGTCTACCTGGCCGCAACAATTTTTTCAAAAGCTACTCCCTAAATGGAGATGTTCAATTAGCAGGTTGGGGTCATTCCGACGCAGCTCGACCAGGTGAAAAAATACCGGATATATTACAATTTGTTAATCTAAAAGTTCAGAATTTAGATTTTTGTAAAACGTATTACAAGAGGTAAGAAATATTTAACCCATTATAGGCCAGCGTTCTGTTTATAGATCAATAAACATCGGATTTCACGTGAGATCTATATATTTAATAATAAAAGTTTCACATCGGCGTACTCATATATTCATAAGTAATCTCGGAAATATAAATTGTTGAATCGTACTTATAAGTCTAATTTTACTGATCTATAAAAAGGACACTGCTAATTACCGTTACGAAAATGTACAGTATTTCACTATTCAGCCGAATATGAATTTGTGCACGTGTTGTAGTTTTTAAATTTTATATTTCTTGATTGCGATTTGCAGAAAATGTTTTATATTTTATTATATTTAGAAAAAATTATTCCGCAGGAACTAATATTTTAACGAACATTGAAATTAAAATGAAATAATTATGAAATAATGTGTACATAACTCATTGAAGCAATTTATACACGGTGTATGAATTATTATACATATAATTATTATTCCAAAACTTGAATTGAATAGATAAAACGTTATAAAGTATAAAAACTGAATTTACAATTGCACTGAAAATAAATACAAGTCTTTATTTCAAGCTGAATGTCGAATCTCGAATGCTAAAACTTGTTGTCGGTCGAAGGTCAACGCCGTAGACAAAACACATGGAGGCTTCTTCTTCTTTAAGTTCCATCTTCTATCGAAGGTTGGAAATCATCATGGCTATGCGGACTCTGTTGACTGCCGCTCTAAAAAGTTCTGCACTACTGCATTCAAACCATTCCCTCAAGTTCTTAAGCCAGGATATTCTTCGTCTTCCCACATTTCGCTTTCCTCGGATTTTGCCCTGCATAATAAGTTGTAATAATGCGTATTTTTGCCCTCTCATCACATGTCCCAAGTACTCAAGTTTTCGTCTTTTAATAGTTAATATTATTTCCGACTCATTTCCTATCCTTCTAGTTACTTCCATGTTTGACATTCTTTGAGTCCATGATATTCGTAGGATTCTTCTGTAACACCAAAATTCAAAGGCGGCCAACTTATTCAGATGAACTTGTATTAGTGTCCAAGCTTCCAGACCATAAAGAAGAGTAGAGAACACGTAACATCGAAGCATTCTCAGGCGTAGTTCTAACCTTATATCCCGACAACAAAGAAACTTTTTAAGTTTAATAAATGATGTACGTGCTATTTCAATACGTGTCTTAATTTCTTTGGTTTGGTCTACATCTGATGTTATCCATGTTCCTAAGTATTTATAGTTATTAACACTCTCAATTGCAGTATCTTCAATAGTCAATTGGATATTTGCATGTGCAGATTTAGTCATGATCATGCATTTAGTTTTCTTTAAATTTATCTTCAGTCCGTACTCATGACACATGGAGGCACACAACAGTTAAACATACCGGTCCCCTTGATAGCTGGTAGGCTTCAACAGCAACTAATGGTTAGAAAGATCCTCTGGAAGTACACATATCTTCATGGCAGGTCGTTTGTATACGGAGGAGCCAGTTCTAATGGTAACAGCTCTGACTATACCGTCGGCACCAGGATGAGTGACTTCAACTATACCAATTTTCCATTTCATTGGTGGGATTCCATCTTCTTTAACCAAGGCGAGGAGTCCAGGCTTTAAGATTGTGGGGTAGGTCTTTTTCCATTTAGACCGTTGTTGGAGCTCGGAAATACACTCCTTTGACCATCGCTTCCAGAAACTTTGGATGATTCTTTGAAGGCGTTGAAACTTACTGAGTGGATTTTCTTTAATTGCAGAATAGTCATGGTCAGATAAAGCAGTAATGCGTTCTCCAATTAGGAAGTGTACAGGTGTCAAGGACTGCGGATCATTGGGATCATTGGAAATCTGGGATAAAGGTCGGGAATTTAAACATGCTTCGACTTGATAAAGAACAGTTACGAAATCTTCGTAAGAAAGTGGGATTTGACCGAGTACCCTCTTTAAATGAAATTTAGTAGATTTAACTCCCGATTGAATTTTATTTTCACTCGTGTGTAGAAACTTATAAATCTCATTTTTAGCTCCAACAAAATTGGTGCCATGGTCAGAATATATATTTGCGCTTAAACCTCTTCTAACGAAAAATCTACGTAGAGTGGCAATAAGAGAGTCTGTAGTAAGACTGCTTACAAGTTCCAAATGCATAGCTCTCGTTGAGAGACACACAAAAATACACACGTAAGCCTTGATTGTTTTATAATTTCTAGTTTGCCGATCCATTAATAAAAAGGGTCCGCAAAAGCCTGTACCTGTATTATAGAATGGTCGTTGAGGCGTTACTCGATGCTCTGGTAAATCTCCCATCAAATAGGGGATAGGAGACGCACTAAAGCGAAAACAACGTAAGCATTGCCTCACAACTTGTTTGATTAAATTTCTGCCAGAAGTAGGCCAAAAACGTTCTCGTATTGAAGCTAGTAATAATTGTGGCCCTGCATGAAGAAGGCGCAAATGTTCTTGATTTACAATTAATTTAGAAAGTACATGCTTACCGGGTATTATTTCAGGATTTTTCTTTTGAAAATCAAATTTTGAATGTTTAAGTCTTCCACCAACTCTGATTATACCCTTGTCATCTAAGAATGGGGCTAATCGTAAGATCTTACTTCTAGAGTTAATAGGTTTAGATTTTGATAAGTCTTGATACTCAGTCGGAAACTCTTGCCTTTGAATAGTTCTAATAAGAGTATATAGAGCATGATTAAGTTCTTGAGCATCCAGTACTCCGGATTTTCGGGTTACCTTAAATAAGCGGAAATTATCAAAGAACCGATAACAGTAAGCAGTGACTCGTTGAAGCTTGTTATGATTAGAAAATCTGTTAATAAGATCCAGTCCTTCAGTAACTGTAGACTGAAAAGAAATTAATTTTTCTTTGCGTCTCTCAGGTGCATCAGCATTGACTATAGTACTTGAAGCACTAGTGGGCCATTGTTCTTTAGGATACAGCAACCATTTAGGGCCATTCCACTGTAGAGAATTATCAATTAAAGACATAGGGCTAAGACCCCGAGAGAGCAAATCAGCTGGGTTTTCTTGAGTATTGACATATCTCCAAGAATCCGAATTTGTTAATGATTGTATTTGTTTCACTCTATTAGCGACAAGAATTTTCCATTGGGAAACAGATTTGATCCATGATAAAACTATAGTTGAGTCACACCAGTAGAAGATATGAGTAATAGGAAGATCTAACGAAATTATGACCTTATGAGCCAACTCTGCCAGCAACAATGCGGTGCACAATTTGAGCCTAGGAATCGTAATTGTTTTGAGGGGAGCTACTCTTGTTTTAGAGCAAAGTAAGTGAAAATGATAAGTACCCTCTGAATCTAAGGATCGAATGTATATACAGGCACCGTATGCCATTTCACTGGAGTCAGAAAAGCCGTGGATTTATAATAGCACTGGATTGTTAGGTAGAACATGTCTAGGAATTTTTAATGCATTTAAATCTTGAAGTTGATTATAGAATTTAATCCAGCTAGTATAAAGGTCTTGTGGGATTGATTCATCCCAATCAAGTTTGTGCTGCCACAATTTTTGAATAATGCATTTTGCTATGATTATTACAGGTTGAACTAATCCTAATGGGTCGAATATTTGAGAGACACAAGATAGGATTCTTCGTTTAGTTGGGCAGGAATTATAAGTAGCCTTTATTGAAAATTGTAGTGTGTCGGATTGAGAGTTCCAAAGAAGATCTAAAGTTTTGTTATTGCAATCCTCACCGAAATTTAATATGGTATTATCCCCTTCAGATTGCTTACAAAGTACTTCCGGTGCATTACACATGAATTTACGGAGTGGAAAGCCACCGGAAATGAGAATTTCAGACAGGTTTTGTTTAAGGTATATTGCTTCATCAATTGATGAACACCCTGTGCAAAGATCATCAACGTAAAAGTCCCTTGCGATTATTCTGCTAATGTCTGGATGTGTATCTTTACATTGTATTGACAGTTCCTTTAAGCATCATGTAGACAGAAAGGCTGCCGGTGCTGTACCGTATGTAAGCGTATTTAATTGATACGTATGTATTTCTGAATCAGGATTAGGTCTCCAAAGAATAAGTTGTAGCGAGCGTTGTGATGAATCTACCAATACTTGAAAATAGATCATCTTGAATAGTTGGACCAGCTACTAAAATGTCATTAAGTGATAAGCCACTAGTTGTTATAGCTAATCCATTGAAAACCACTCTTAACTTGGTGGTAGTACTAGACTCCTTTACCACACCGTGGTGGGGCAAATAATAGCAAGGTTTGTCTGATAATTCAGAGTCATATATTTTGGTCATGTGACCAAGAGCTTCGTATTCGCTTAAGAAATCTGTATAATTTGCCTTTAGTTCAGGATTTCTTTGTAATCGCTTTTTTAAATTGAAGAAGTATTTGGTTGCTACTTCTTTTGAATCGCCAAGAGAGCAAGCCGGTTTCTGAAACGGTAGTTGGACGATAAATTGACCCAACGAGTTTCTGTTAGTAGTAGTTTTGAATAGTTCTTCACAGAGAATGTCATCTGAAGATGAGGATTTAGGAACATTGATTTCTTCAATTTCCCAGAATTTAGCTATTTGTGAATGAATAGCCTGATCAGAAGTACTCAGATTGCATGAGACAGAAATGTTAGGAGGTTGTATGAATTGGGGTGAATGTATAGTGCCTGAGACAATCCAACCAAATTGAGTTTTTGCAATGTAGGCAAATGCTTGCCAAGCTTTACTTGCCCTACCATGAGCAGATCCCAAAATGAATACAAGTCTTTATTTCAAGCTGAATGTCGAATCTCGAATGCTAAAACTTGGTTGTCGGTCGAAGGTCAACGCCGTATACCAAACACATACAGGGGTCGATCAACAGTTAAAAACACGGAAAACTTATTCGATTCGGCTAGAAATTTTGTACTTTGTGAAAGTAGCGGATACTGTTAAAATTTTGTTAGTATTTGTTAGTATTTTTTTAAAAATGGATTTACCACCTAAGATTTATATTTTACTTTGTATAAATTAACGATAA